CGTATCCGAATATCATAGTTTTCAGTCCAATAAAGGTTGAATAGAGGAGGGGGTCATAGGTTAATTATTGTTAGGGTGGTGAGCCTTATGGCTCGTAAGACCAATTCGTGCTCTGAATAATTGTGGGAGTGGCTGTTTTTGTCCTTTCTGCACGTCGCTGTCGTTTAGCTACCAGGTTGGCTCTTCTTTCCTCTTCAAAGAGGTCCGTGCCCACTTCCACTCGTTCCTGTTACTCGCTGATGCTTCGAAGGTGTTTGGGTCTATGTTAGCTTCCTTCAGGATTTCTTGAGTTGGTTTTTAAATCGAAGCATAGGGCGGCCTCTAGGGCGATCACCTGTATTTAACTCACTGAAGAGAATTTTCTTTGGTAGTCTTGTGTCCTCCATACGCACTACATAACCAGACCATCTTAGGCGGTGTTTCATTATCATGGCCACGATGCTGGTGATGTTGGCTCTTTCAAGGACTGCTGTATTGGACACACAGTCGTTCCATTTGATTTTCATTATTGCTCTCAGTTTTTTTCTGGTGGAATTGTTCCAGTTTATTTAGATCCCTACTATAAAGGGTCCAAGTCTCATATGCATATAACAGGGTTGATACTATAATGGTGTTATATACCATTACCTTTGTATAGTTGGTTAAGTCTTTGTTCTTGAACACCCTGGTGGATAGTCTCCCATATGCAGTGTGGCCAGCCTGTAACCTGTTTTCGATCTCTTTGGAGGTGGTGCTCTGGGTGGAAAGGATGCTTCCCAGGTATGGGAAATGTTCGACGCATTCAATGGTGGTCACGGTCACAATTAACATCCATGGTGATGTTAGTTACTGGTGTATTCTCCCCTGATCTTGGTTGGGTCAATATCCTAGTTTTGGCCTTGTCAACTGTTAGGCCAAAACATGTGTAGGCAGCATGGAAATTATCCACCGATTCTTGGAGCTCTGCTTGAGTGTGGGCTACGGCAGCGTTGTCATCTGCATGCTGTAGTTCCGTCACATTCATGGTGTTGGTGAAATGAGTCTGGCCAGTTTGAAAATTCCTCCAATCTCAACCCCTGGGTTGTTGTGGGGTAATTCATATAGCATGGCAGCTAAGTATAGAGAGAAAAGAGTCGGCGCAATTACACATCCTTGTTTTAGTCCACATGTGATTGGGAAGGGGGCTGACAGGTTACTTTGATGGATTATTTTAGCTGTCATCCCATTATGTAGGGCTTTGATCATGTTAACAAAAGGCTCAGGAGGGTGTTGAAGTGTTCTACCCAACGGTTCTGGATCTCATAGTCTTCCGTGAGGATGTTGTCCACTGCAAAAAATGTCCCAGCAGCAGCGTGCTTAAGTCCGAAAATTTTCTTTGTGCCCTCAAAGAAGCTTTTAAGGTCCCTACTGACAGCATAACCTTGGTCTTGAGCCATTTGCTGCCACCTCTTATTTTGTATTTCCCGAAGCCTGGCTTGACACTGTGACTTTGCTTGTGCATATTTAGCCATCTTTGGTTGGGAATTAGGGTCTTGGTCATGGGCTATTCGGGCTTTCCGTTTGCTGTTAATGAGAGTCTTAATATCTTTGTCGTTGTCGTCATACCAATCCTGGTGCTGTTTGCTCTGATAGCCAATTACGGTTCTTGTAGTTTCATTGATAGCATCTCGTATGTTATTCCATTCAGCGTCGACTGAAAGTTCTCATCGAATCTGGGCATGCTTCTTGAGATTATAACCTCTTTTTTTGTTGTCTGACAATGGCATGATCTAAGATATGCCAGTGTTTTGATCTAGGATGTTTCCAGGTGATCTTAAATCGGTTCGGGAGTCTGAACTGCGTGTTTGTGATGAACAGTTCCTGTTCAGTACAGAGGCCAAGGAGGAGGAGGCCATTATCATTGCAGTTTCCCATGCCTTGCTTGCCGATTATGAGTTCATGTTCTCGCCCCACTCTGGCGTTAAAATCCCCTATGAGAAGGAGACGGTCCCCAGCTGGAATTTGGGATATGACGGCGTCAAGCTGTTGGTAGAAGGCACCTTTGACATTTGTCTTCCGCATCTAGTGTTGGGGCGTACACTAATATTAGTGTGATGAACTGTTATTTTGGGAGTGGTAGTCTTAGTGAGGTGATTCTTTCATTGATCGCATTTGGTCTGTGTCTCTGGCATCCATAAGGGTTGGCACATTCCATGCACCTACTTTGAGGTACGTTTTATTATGTTTCCTTCTTTCACGGCTGCATATACGGTGGGTTATTGGGTGCTGCTGCCCAATGACTGGAATGGTGTGACCACCGATGTTTAGCCCACCTTTTATAGGGCCTTCCCCAGTTGGGGTGAGCAGCGATACTCCTGAAGAGGCCTGCTCACATCACAGGTGCAGGACCAAGTTCCTGTGTGGTCACGGTCACAAGAGAAGCGGCCATCGCATGCCTGCCGCTAGTGTGTAGGTCCAGGATAAGAGCTTCCAGCTACACCAAGCCTACTCCCACCACCCTTGTCCCATCGCCACTGGTCTCTTTTAGGTAAGGTTAGGAGAGGAAGAGAAAGGAGATAAGGAGGGTGTTAGAGAGACAGTAGTTGAACTGAAAAGGCCCACACAATCTGGCTCCACACGTTCCTCCTGTGGCACACAGGTGTGACGTACAAGACTGTGGTGTGGAGTTGCATCGGTCTGCCGATAATCTAGTCCACCAGATCTCGTCTTACAGCCTGGCATGGTTTAGAGTTTTCCTTCACCTAGCCTTTACCTAAGGAGGCATACCCTACAAGCCAGCAGAGGGGTCTGATTATACCGTCAGTCACTCGGTCGCTTGCATGCATTCTGTAATAAAACAGGGGGGACCACAGGAAGTTAGCATGCAATTACTTAAGAGGAGAGGCTGTAGGAAGGTTAAGACTAACTTGGCCTAAGACGCATGCACTCTAATCACCCCCTCCCCCCCATGTGTGTATATATACATACATATAAATACATATATATACACCCATATGTGTGCGTGTGTGTGTGCATATGCATATACACTTATATATATGTATATATACATTTATATATATTTATATATATGTATATATATGTACATATACACATATATATACATATATATATATATATATATATATAAATATATATATATATATATATATATATATATATATATATATGTGTGTTGTGTGTGTGTGTGTGTGTGTGTGTGTGTGTGTATATTCATATATATATATATATATATATATATATATATATATATATATATATATATATATATATATATATGTGTGTGTGCGTGTGTGTGTGTGTGTGTGTGTGTGTGTGTGTGTGTGTGTGTGTGTGTGTGTGTGTGTGTGTGTGTGTGTGTGTGTGTGTGTGTGTATGTGTGTGTATGTGTGTGTGTGTGTGTGTGTGTGTGTGTGTGTGTGTGTGTGTGTGTGTGTGTGTGTGTGTGTGTGTGTGTGTGTGTGTAAATATATGAGACGGGTATATAACAGCAGCAGTGGAACAGCGGATAATATGAACTTATTTACTAACACTACCAGAAAAAAAACATTCTGAAGGTTGACAAAATAAGCATTGAATTTCTTCAGTTTAAATGAACAAAACCAGAATTCATCCAAACGTTTCGGGTTGACTTCGCCCATCTTCAGTGAACAATAACTGTTAAATAACAATTATAAATATATACAAACATGCATCAAATATTAGTTACATTATTCATTAATTACAATTCAATACTTTATGACATTTCATATTTAGTTACAATTATATATTGAGAGTTAATCTAATTTTGAACGTAACAGTCTAATAGCAGAAATATAAAACATAAAAGAGACAAACAATGAATTCTTCAGTTTCAAATTAACAGCTGAGAATATGATTGAATATGATAATATTTGAGGCTTAGTTTGTCAACAATACATATACAACAATATATAATTAATTAGTGAATACATATATACTATACGAAACAATTAAGAAACAATAAAACTGTATAAAATTCTATAGTATATGATAAGTAATGCTTATACAAATAGTGTAATATCACATACATGGAGATAAATGGACTATAAACCTTAAGAATCAATGTAATAAGAGTGGACAAAAATTGATTACGACCAAGTGTTATCCCAACTAGGAGCCAGTTGTAATTCTTTGGAAATAAAATCAAGATCCCAGCTTTGATCAGACCATAAATAATATTAAATGAAAGTATGTAACTTGCGCTATAAAAGAACCATGAATTGATTGTTACCAACCTAAAATGACCTAGGAAAATTTGAAAAGAGAGTGCAGCAAACAGGTGCATACATCCTCCAGCCAAGGCAATGGAGGAGTGGGCTGTTTTCTGCCAAACCCAGAAAACTAACAGTTTTGAATAAAGTTCATTCTTTGCTGGCCGAAAACAGCCCACATCTATATAGGTCATGTGTTAATCTCTAGTCCTTAAATCATATCATACTTCTGTTACATACACTGCAAGTTGAGTTTGAAGCCATGAATTGACTTCAAAAATTAGCGCCTCAGCTTGGAGACATTTCCCCTTTAAAATGAATTCATGGCCGGAAAGAGGTGAGAGTCAGATGGTGCAAGGTTAGGAGAATGAGGAGGATGAGAAAGGAAGCCGTGTCCACAGGTTTGTGTTTCCATCTGGCCAATGTGATAGGGACATTGTCTTTATATTAAACATACCCATCAATGAGGCCACTGAAGCTGCAAAGCGAAACTGGCAGGAATGGACGATGGTGAATTACCAATGCCGAAAGATAAGTACGTCACACTCATTCACCTCTGTGTGGAGTTAGGACCTTTCCGTGGACGTGAAGATGAACAGATTGAAGGAATTACGATTAGCTTACCTCTTTCAGCAGTCCTTGCCCAAGTACAGTATGTAGGTACAGGTCTCGTGTATGAGTTATTTGTGAACACAAATATAAAACTAAGAAATATAGACTATAAAACAAAAATATAATCTGCCATACATGTTAATTTTTAAGCAATATAATTAGAAGAAAAAAGTTACATACCAGTCAATCTTTAATGTCTGTGCTGGAACCACATTTGTATCTTCTTCAGAGTCTGACGAGTCAAACATTTTCAATCCTGGGAAGATAAGTTTTGAGTAAGAATACAGACAAGTGCTAAATTCAATTTGCTTAGTGTCAAAACTGTAAACTTGTTGGGTATTATTCAGAAAAGAAAAAAAGCAGGAAAAAATTAAGGGGATCACCTCCCATGAGCCTTGCGAAGTATGGGATTTTGGCAATGTGAGACATGTGTACTTCAGTGAGTTTTTGGCTTCCAGGAATGGCCTCAAAATTTGCCAGGTCCCCACCTCAACCTTTGGATGGTTATTTGCCCACGCTGCTTAAATTTCTCAAAATCATGTTTTAACACATTACTTATTTGAAATTGGGATATTAGCAAAAAAAAAAAAAAAAAAAAGAGAGATCATTCGCTATTATATGCTCCTGCACTTCATGACTTCAAATAGTTGCAAGTTTATATGTTTAGATATGTTTTGAGAAATAAGGTAAAAAAGGACAATGGTTCTTAAAGGAAAAAATGTATATCTTTCCGGAATTTCGTAAAATAGCTTAGGATACTAGCAAACATTTGTTTTCAGTATGTATTGCATGTCTAAAAAAAGTTCCCTTATCTCTCAAAACGCCTTTGGATGCGATCAGAAGGCCTCCCGTTTCCCAAATGCTCCCTCCTGCTGGTGAAGACTGCCTCGTCTCTTTCACACTGAAATTGCGTGTTCCATCTGCTCGTGTAGAAGGCCCCTAAACACACGCATGGCTAAATTTCCTCCCTTTCGCTTTTCTTAATTATTATTATTATTATTTTTTTTTATGTTTCTTTTAAATATTCTAAATTAGTCATAATTCTGGATGGTCTGGGGAAAACTATCTTCGAGAGCCAATTTTCATTTCAGATGCCATCTTGAGGACCAACAAAGGTACACCCAACAAGAAAAACGGTGATGCCTCGCCAGACCTGGCTTGGATGCCCTTGTGGCAGAGGCCACAATCACCTCGGCACCGGCGCTGCCTTTCTCCGTGTAATTGCCTCAGTCGACACCGGCGCAGCCTCACTCGGCGTAGTTCCCTCACCTCACTCGGCACCGGCACACCTCACTCGGCATAAATGCCCTTACGCCGAGTAAGCCAGCAGGAAGCACGGCGAGGTCCGCGGCGCTGATTCACCGCGACGCGAAAGATAAGAATGCAGCCGTCGGCCAATCAGCGCATCACAACCGCGGACAACCCTGCAGTATTACTGCATCCTACTTGTATATATATTGCATTTCTTGAGGGAAATAGACAGACTTCTCTGCACTTGGGTTTACTTCACCTTTCTACTTAAGCCCTAGCTCTTGACTACCTCACCGAAGGCCTCTCCACATTGGTGACACCAAAGTGACAACATGAGTACCGACACAGCTACCCTTTTCACCGAAGTGAATGCCGCCTCCATCCTTCTCGCCAAATGAAGCCCTCACATGGTTTCGGCGAGCCAAAACCCAGTTCAGGCTGAAGAACATTGTGAAGGCGGCCATCAAAGCTGACCACATCGTAGCCATCTTACCCGAGGAAGTTTTTCACCGGGTAGCCCCCTGGTTAGACAGCCAGCCAGACGACATTGAAGCAGGAGCTGTTGAAGGAGTTCTCTCTTTCCCCATCTGAGAGGGCGCAATTGACGCCGGTTCATCAACACGGAGACCTCACTCCACTTCCGGTCAACGCAGTCTCCATTCCGGGTCCTACTGAGGTCAACATGTGCCGCCTCACCGGAGATGCCTACTGGGCCATATTCAGCGATTTCCCTGCAGTCTTCAAACCAGAGCTCCGCGGCACCAACCCTGGAGCAGCAGCGATACATGGAGTCTACCACCACATCAAGACGACAGGACCCCCAGTCCATTCTCGTTTCCGTCGCTTGAGGCCTGAGATGTTCCACGCTGCCAAGCTCACCTTCACAGAAATGGTTGTTTGCTCCAAGGCTGCTAGTCCATGGCCATCCCCTCTTCACATGGTCTGGAAACCAAACAACTCGTGGCGCCCTTGTAGCGACTACCAGAGACTCAACCTCATCACGGAACTGGACCATTACCCCATGCCTAACATCAACGACTTGAGGGCCAGCAAAGACAACGCCCTCATATTCTCCAAACTGGACCTTCTCAAGGGAGACTTCCAAGTGCCTGTCCATCCAGATGACGTCCCCATGACGGCTATCATCACCTCATTTGGAAGCTATGTATTGCACTACTCCACCTTCAGGCTCAGGAACAGCAGTGCCACCTTCCAGAGGATGATGGACCAGATCTTTGGCAAGCTCCCATTCTGCGTGGTCTACGTTGACGACATCCTCATTTTTTCACGAAACCACCAGGAACACCAACAGCACGTCCAAACAATCCTGCACCTTCTGAAGCAAAATGGCCTGGTAGTGAGCCCGGACAAATGCATTTTTGGCGCCAGCAGCATCGACTTCTTAGGATACAAGATCCACAGGCCAATAAAGTTAACGCTGTGCTCCAGTTCCCTACGCCAACATCTGTCAAGAGAGTCCAGCAGTTCCTAGGGATGATAAACTACTATCACCGATTCATCCCCGGGGCTGCCAGCATTCTCACCCCCTCCAGGAGGCCGTCGCCGGAAACAAGACATCACTCACCTGGTCCCACGACCAAGAGAAAGCCTTCACAGCTGCAAAAACAGTCTTTGCCAGGGCTACTGTCTTAGCATGGCCTGCCCCCAATGCCCAGCTCTACCTCACAACAGACGCCAGCAAAGTTGCAATAGGAGCTGTCCTGGACAAAACGACAGCCCTTAGCATTCTTCAGCCGAAAGCTCCAACCACCTGAGCGGATGTACAGCACGTTCAACAGAGAGCTCCTAGCAGTTCATCTGGCCGTGCGACACTTCTGCCACATGCTCGAGGGTACGTCACACTATTTTCACAGATCACAAGCTTCTGATCAACGTGCTTTCCAAGTCAGGGGATGCATGGTCAGAACAGCAGCAACATCTCTCAGCCATCGCCGAGACGGGCTGCACGATGTGACACCTCTCAGGCTCCAAGAATCGTCGCCGATTCTCTCTCACGCATCGAGATCTCCTCCATCCAGCTTGGGGTCGACTACAAGGCTCTAGCAGCAGAACAAGAGCGAGATCCCGAGACCATGGCCAACATCACGGCCATCACCAACCTTCGCTGGGAGAGAGTCACCATTGCAGATACACCTGTCCTCTGCGACGTCAGTACCGGCCGACCCCGCCCCCTCGTACTTACCACATTTCGGAGGGAAATCTTCAATCTCATCCATGGACTAGCTCACCCATCCATCCACAGCACCACCAAGCTGGTTTTGGAGAAGTTCGTGTGGCACTTCATGAAATGAAAAGATCTCCGAGATTGAGTAAGGAGCTGCGAGTAGTGCCAGCGCAGCAAAATCCATCGCCACACCAAGCCAGCCATCCACAACCTGCCCCAGCCCAAGCGACGTTTTGGTCACATTCACATGGACGTCGTCGGATCTCTCCCACCGTTAGAGGGCAAGAGGTACATCTTCACCATCATCGACCGCTCTACTCGCTGGTCTGATGCCACACCCATGGAGGATGCAACCACCAGATCCTGTGCCCAGGCACTCCTTGGCTCCTGGATCGCCCGTTTTGATCTCTCGGAACATATAACGTCCGATAGGGGAGCAAGCTTCACCTCAGAGCTGTGGAAGGCCCTAGCGCAGCTCCTTGGGGTCACTCTCCACTTCACAATGGCATACCATCCACAAGCTAATGGACTCATCGAGAGATGGCATCAATCCCTCAAGATGGCCCTCACCACCTGTTGCACCACAGCCACATGGACTTCGCAGCTCCCCTGGGTGCTTCTTGGGCTCAGGACAACGTCTAAGGATCTCACCCATTCTGAAGCCGAGATGGTACATGGCCAGCCCCTCGTCGTGCCCAGAGAATTCTTCCCCAACGACGGCGCAAGCGACACTCGGATAGAGGACCTCCGCCAGGTGGCCCGGAATTTCGCTCCCAGCAGACCAACCCGTCACTCGCATCATCCGACCTACACCCCGCCAGGACTGGATACAGCCAAGTTCGTCTTTCTCCGAGACGACACCCACCGCCAGCCACTATCTTGCCCTTACAAGGGTCCTTTCAAGGTCCTCCAGTGCTCCCCCAGAGCGTTTAAGCTACAACTTTAAGGACGAACTGACTGGGTTACCAAGGAGCGCCTTAAGCCAGCATACATCGATGCCACAGACCACAATGATAGAACCTACAAGAGATCCGGACCCCATTCTTGCCCTCGCAGGATCCCCGATCTGTAGTCCTTTCTCCCTCGTTAGGGGGGAGGCATTCTGGCAGAGGCCACAATCATCTCGGCACCGGCGCTGCCTCTTTCTGTGTAATTGCCTCAGTCGACACCGGCGCAGCCTCACTCGGCGTAGTTCCCTCACCTCACTCGGCATATTTGCAGGCAAGCACGGCGAGGTCCGCGGCGCTGATTCCCTGCAACGCTAATGATAAGAATGCAGCCGTCGGCCACTCACCGCATCACAACCGCGGACCCCGCAGTATTACTGCAAATAGACAGACTTCTCTGCACTAGGGTTTACTTCACCTTACTACTCAAGCCTTAGCTATTGACTACCTCTCTGAGGGCCTCCCCACACCCTGAAAGGTGGCCCACATTCAAAAAACCTGGAAAAGTGGGGGGAGGGGGTGATCTGAATTCGCTAGGCAAAGCAAGGAGTGTTTGGCTATGTTTCAGTCCCATCCTCTCAAGGCTAGTTCCCACCCCCACCCCTCACCCCCTCTCTCTCTCTCTCTCTCTCTCTTTCTGGATGTGAATAATGTATCGTCTTAAATAGCGCCTCTTTAACTACCAAACATTAATAAATGGCTTCGGGAGTGACGGGGTGTAAAGGTTTAGGTATCGATTCCCTTGTTTACTTTTTATCTGGGTGCCTCCTATGAACCACGACCTCCAGTTGCGTTCATGAATCGCAAAACACGGTTTGGTTAGGGTCAGCTTTGGTGTGATGAACCACTTATCTCTGCCCCTCACAATAATATACTTATAAAAAGTATGTATATTAATCATATTATCCATATACATATAAAAAATATTTATATTGATTATATCAGTTTAAAGCTTGAGATACATATTAATTTAAAGTGCATCGTCATTAAACCTAATTCATTATATTGTTTACGAAACTTGGTGAAAATATATGTAGTAAAATTAAATGCAGTGAATGTGTGCAGCAGCGCATTAATATAGTGATAGTGGGGTATACAGGATGTAGGTGTTGCGAAACTATTAACATATCATTTGGTTTCAAATTATTAGTCTACCCAAGGATATGGGAATATTCCCTCAGCCTTGTCTCTACCTATGCTTACGCCTTTATTTGTCGTTTCAGCGGCTGGTGTTCAACACCAAGTCGGTGTTCCCCCTCCACACTATTCAAGACACCCATTACTTTTTATTTATGTTCAGTCCGTTTTTTACATATTCATTTCGCTATTTTTGGTAGTTAAATAATTGTTATTTGGAAAATATAATGGTGCAAGAAATATTGTCATATAATTCTCTTTTCCAAATAACATATCAAAAGTTCACCATTATCTAAATAGCGGATCAAGGTGAGAGATCAAGTCAGTGAGAGAGAGAGCAGCTGCTTAGGATAATGCAAAGCCAAATATTGATATACGTGTCTGTGATAATGCCAATAAGGGATATTTCCGTCTGACGAATATTAATATGAATACTCAGTTCCAACAACTCAACAGGACCAAAACGACCCCTCACTCTCTGTCTATCTATATTTCAGTCGTGATTGCATTCCTTTGCTTGATTTCTGTAATGCCCCTCCTTCGAACCATCCTAATTATGTGCTGGTAGTTTGAACATGGGCCTCCTTTCAAGAACATGATCTCTCCGAGCCAGGTCTGGCGAGGCGTCACCACTTTTGTTGTTGGGTGTACATACATACAAGGTATTATACAACTTTATTTTTGTTAGAAAACGTAAGTCAACGGTGTCATAAGATGCAAAATAAAAACTACCGTGCTGCATGAGTCTACTTTGCTTTACAGAAATAGTATAATCTCAAGGCATCACTTTAATCTTAAAATTTTCATGTGAACTAGTTATAAGCAACCTTTTATAATTGCAATAACAATATGAATAAAACTAATTTCAGAGAGAAATTAAGATTATTTAAGAATTTTCCATCTCTTACCCCTTTGGCTGGCTGACAATATTTCGTTCATAGTTTACATTCGCCTTAAAGGGTTGGTCACATGAGCGTTTTGTCAATGATACCTCAGAGATAACTTCAACTCTTCGACTTCCTTCATCTTCTGAATTCGAATATTCTACCACTTGGTAGGTAGTAGAAGCGCATCATTTGAAATCGGCGAAATGGGCAAGGTAAGAATGTCTGTATTTTGCCCAGAAGAAAATACTCAACTACACAATTAATAATAATTACACATTACGATTAATAATAGATTAAAATAGATATTGCATTTCATATCATTACTGTTTATTTGTACGTTTGAAAGTATCCGTGACGTCATCATGGCTTCCAATTCTTCAGAGGAGCTTGTCTATATCCATTCTCCAGTTTAAGTTCTTGCAGTAAATTATGATACACCCTTCTACCATTTCTGCTCTGCAGCCACGAACGAACCCATATATGTTGTTATAGCAATCATTGAGCCTCCAATTCTACAAATGATGATAAATAACCTAAGAGGAGGGCTACATGTGCAACCATGTTTGTGAAATCAAGCGAATAGACTAGAAACTTTTAATAGACTTACAGTTCTTTAATCGTATTATAAAGTTGATGTAGATATAATAAACACAGTGCTCCGAAAGGCGAACAAAAATACCACTAGATGTCAGATTTTTTTTTTTTTTTTTTTTTTAAGATTTGCCAATATAAAATATATACATGGCTACATATGATCTACAGGGAAAAGAAATTTGTCAGCCTTATGCAGGTCAAGGATGGCTTCATTCGCTCTGTGCTCACGCTACCTGTGTAGGTGGTCAGTACAACCGTCACTATCAGCTGTAAATGCTGTTAGGTCATCATTATACTCGCGGTAGTCCAACACAGGCTGCACTCTACCTCGATTGTTCTGACGCACAGCCATATGCATCAAACTGTGCTCTGTAGTCTGGTGCATCTACCACTAGTGGCTCCCGGGATGGGGCGCCACACACCTGCTTAGTCTCACAGAAACTCTGTCGACAACCTAACCACAACACCACCAAGCGACGAAATACCACCAAGCACTATATCCATACCCAATGGTCGTTTGTTCACCACAAGAACATGTTGGCGTGCTGACCAGTAGGTGTTTGTACCATTACCCTACCAACTCTGGTGCACTGAAACGAGTCTCCACTGACTTGCCAATACACAATGCAAGTTAACTTCTTCAGCTCTGGAGCCAGCAGGGACTGTGCACTGCAAGTTGTTTGATAGCCCAGCTACAATCACACACCAATGCACACTCAAAGCATGCCTCCAAACAGATCCGCCAGCTGCCAATCAGCCAAGAATACGTCAGCTGGCTCACCCGGTTGAAGCTGGCATGCAACTAACACCTCACACGGTGCAAACTGGTCCAAAGCAGATGCTGCATACTGTGAATCACGCACGGCCTTCAACAAACAGCGGTGGGTAGCTAGTACTTGTGACATGGCAAATGCCCCACCTTTAGGCACAGTGGTAGAATCGTCTCTAAGGCGACACCCCAGAGCTGCCTAGATAGCTTGTGGACTGAATAAAAAATTTCTGTCAGCTTGCTTCTTGAATGAGGAAAAAAAAATCATAAAATGGCGACACAATGGAAGTACGTCTGAACGGCACAAGGACGATCAGACGACTGACTCTCACCAGCAGTTGCCCGGCGCCCTCATCCCTTCAAACCCGAAACTACCCAATCAACAATTTAGGGCAAGTAATAATGACAAGAAAATAAATGTCCTAGAAATTTTAGGGCTAGTTAATAAATGTGCTAGAAATTTTAGGGCTAGTTAATAACTGTAAGCTGGAAGTTTACGACACATTCAGCATATCCCACATTATAACATGTGACACAATTAACTTAAAGGCCTACAATCACAAGTACCAAAATGTTTGAAACACTAAAATACACAAAATATCCAAATTAAAAAAAAAAGATTCCTTTTTATATTAATACTAATTTAAATCACCCCTCCTCGCCAACCCTTTCCTACCTATGCCTTCACCATATCCCCACCACTTTTAGGGATGGTCCCCTTAAAGTTATTTACAGCAATTCAGCACCATCCAAGTACCTATAATGCCGGGGAAGCTGAATTGCTAACAGGTTTCATTTGATTTTTTCATTGTTACATAGATAAGACAGTTACCATTGAGTTAATGTGGCTCTTTTCTTCATTAAAACCAATGAATAGTGCTTGGCCTTAAATCTAATAAGTACTAGCCATTGCTTTTATCAAGAGTTATATCCTTCTTACAACAGTATTTCTACTGAAGACTGCCATTATTCACTTTGAAAATAATCATATACTTTGGCAAAAATGATTAAACAAAACTGAGAATAATAGAGTAAACTGTTGAAGTCACATTAGTCTATTTTGTCCATGGACCCCTTTACAGAGCAGGATACTTCCCCAGCTGTAAAGGGAAGCGAGATGACCTAAATCGGCACCGCTGTGTTGGTCTTTCGTCCCAGCTAAGAAGGAAATATGATGCGAAAACAAAAATTGTAGTATAATTACTAGAAAGCTGATTACCTCATTGTCTAAACAGTAATTAACATCTGAGCCCTAAATTGTACTGTATAAATAATACATATTACAACAATGAAGCCTCAATAACATTTAGAAGATTATCCAGACAAACGTTCATTTCATCAAGGAATGCAAACACATCCATTCCGACACACTGAAGACCAGGCGCAATGCCACAGGGTATGTGGGGGGGGGGGGGGGTGCGACACCGCCTCAAAGGTCACAAATCGTCATTTCACGCGGCAGAATGGAAAAAAAAATCAGTTTACTCGGCAAATTTGGAGGTCGACATAATTTAAGAAATCAATGATCATGGTTTGTAATTCTCGAAGTTTTCATTTTCATTTCAATTTGGTCCTTTTCGAAACAAGATATTAGAAAGTATGAAGTGTGGATTTAATTTTTAAAATGTTACCCGGTAACCTTGCTCCCGACACCCCCCAAAAAAGTGTTCTAGCGCCACCCCGTTGAAGACATAGAACTAACTTCAGACATTAATTACACCTTACTGACCAGAGTGAGAGCCAGAGAACAATTTTGGAATAACATAGATAAATATGATAACAGAAAACGGAATAACAATAATGGATAAAAAAAAAAACGTATGTCTGGCATGGGTGTGTCACGTTCGACAATTCATATTTTATTCAATTTCAGAACAACTAATTCAATTAGCAGATGGATTTACACCCAACTTCAAGAACTTACATAAGTTAACCAAGGCCTTGAAGCTTGTTCGAATTTCAGAAGCATATACACTGAATCAGCCATCACCAATGCCATTATTGCCATGCCTGAAATTAGGTGGATTATAAACCGTTTAAGTTTATAATCATAGAATTGCCAGATCTATGTTAGAATATAAAAATAATAATGAATAAGGTATCTTTATCATGAGTACTAAAGTGTCAACATTAAGCCCCTAAAGTGGAATCGCCAGCCGAATGTGTATCAAGTTTTGATGCCAGTAGATGAAATACATAAGCTAGCCTCTCTTTGGGCGTCCCAGCTTGTCAAATGAAAATTCTTTGCATTTTCGAATATTCTGTATATTATATCATTTGAAATGCATTTAGTATCATAGCAGGTATAGTACTTTCATGTATCATTTTGTTTTGCATCTCTCAAATATTCAAGAAATGCTTAATGCGAGACAAATAAAATTACGGCTGATGATTCTCTATCTTGAATTTTGTAATCACATATTGTGATCTATCAGAATATATTGAATATGTAAAGTAAAGGTTGGTTGGTTAATGGTTGCAAATCAAACTAAATGTGCTAGACATCAAAGGACATAGCACTATACGTTGTAGAAAAAAAGGTAAAGAAGGTGGGGGGGTCTGTCGTATTGCAGTTTAAGATAGTATGGAAATGAATGTGGGGTGCGAATACAGAAGGTGCGCAAATGGATTAAAGTCGGGTAATTAGATCAAATGGAGGATATGTTATGCATCTGAGGAAGGAAAGCTGGCAAAGGGAAATGTGTGGGATTCCGCAAGGATGCCTATTGGGTAAGGCAGGGATTAGGGAAAGGGAGGTAAAGAGCAATAAGATCAAAGGCCAATTCCAGGAAAACCTTAGGAGAGCGCATATCCAGGGAGAGCACTGCCGTAACAAGAGGGAGTTACGTGTATCCATGAGGTAGTGGACGGGATAAAAGGGAAGCAAAGGTGATGGGGTATGTTGGGAGTGGGAAGGGGTGTAGGGGGAACATGAGTAGGGGTAGGATGTATGTCGGTAGTCACTTTAAGTGGAGAGGGAATGTTAGCAGAGCGATTGGAGAATTAATGATGTTAAGGTCAGGATTTGATAGCTTTGAATGCAATCAGTTTCTGAAATGGAGGTTGGGGAGGTCTGAGACACAAAGGTCTTCTCATTAGCAGATGAGGTAGATTTAGGAAAGGATGTGGTAAAAAGATGGGGTAGAACTTTTATACTGTCTGATGCGATGAGTATATACTAAATCTGAAGACTGCTACCTCAAACTTATAAGTAGCCCCCTATAAAATACATGGAGGGAACCACCACTCAGTACACAGGAATGATTGTGCAGGGCAGTCTGAACCACCTGTTTGCCCATAGCTTTGTAAATACCTGTATATATTTATTAACATTATAGTTATTCTTGATATTGTTGTTACTGACATCAGTAGTAGTATCATTGTTACTCTTATTGTTATTATAATTATTTGTATTTGTGTTTGAACTAATATGTTATTATTTCATCAACATATCTATTGTCTTTATTGTTATGTTTCATCTATACTCTGCTGATATCATTGTTTACATGTTATATATCTTTGTTCTCTATCATTCTCTTTTTCAATGAAATTATTGTTAAAAGGTACTAGCAATACTCTTCTCTCCAAACCTCGAGCCATCAGTCCCAATTTATTGTTTTCACAATTATTATTTTCACAGACAGACGCGTCTGGCAGCGTTGTTCCCGGTAACGTTTCAAGATCTTTATATCGGGTTAAGACGCCTTTATTTCAATCTATTTGTGTAATCATATTTGCTTCCTCCCAAATATTTCTCGTACTTATTACATCGTCAATTACACCAACATACTTAATCTGAACGTTTACTAACAAATATTCTTACTATTGAAATAACGGATAATCTGAGTAATATCATTTGCTTCTTTTCAAGTTCACGTTGTCATCAATTGATTGGTAGTGATATAAGTGATAAAAATATGTAGTTTAAACATTTTTTTAAAGATTCTGGAGTAGCTTCTCTTTTTAAATTTCACTGACATGAATTGATCAAATATGACCAATGCTGTCCCAGACCCCATCAATCAATGTCCAAGGATCCCTAGCCATGTGGTAGTCGTGTGACTGTTGCCTTCTTCAATTATCTTAACCACAACAGATAAACATTATAAAAAGTGAGAAGCAAGTCAGCAAGCGCTCTGATGGTTATTTGGTTAACCTGTTAACCCACTCATGCCATTGTTTTAACCTACAAGTAGCATGACATTTTATATGTTCTCATGAAATTCTGCAACTAGCTTTTCTATTCTCAATGAATTCAATGTTTATTTCGCTGTTAAGTTCTATATTCTATATTTGATATTGTCATAAAGCTACGAACGTTTGAAGAGATCGTTGTGATAAATGTAGAAAAAGGTGTAGCGGCCGTGACCAGCAACTTATCCAACTCGCCTACACATACTTCCCAGTTCGATTCATGAGAGAAAGAATTGCCAATGAATAAGCATAACAGACTTACACTCAATGACAGGGTTTCACTCAGCATGGCAAGTATACACTACACCAATAAAAT